AAGATTATAAACTGCTGAAGGAATGCTTGAAAAGAAATAGATAATTTCCTTTGGGGTTAAACAGATTTGTTTGGATATCTATTTAAATACATCCTCTATATTTTATAATCTACATTCAGAGTTTATGTTTGACTTTTTTATTTACATAGGCTATTAAAATAATACATATTGTGCGTTAATTTAGGGACTGATTCATTAGGAATATTATGCAGGCATAGCTAAATTTGCCAGTTGCAACAAATCCTGCATTTGCTGTGTTATAGCTGATACTTCTGAGATTTTATATGGAGAAAATAAGGCTGAAGCCTCCACTGAAGCCACGTCACCTCCAATGTCTGGTAAAGCTCTTTGACTTTGAGAGGTTTTTTATGTTGGCTTCAGTGAACTTTGTACTAGGTCCTAGAAGGCAAGAATGGTTTGCAGACTAAAAAGAAGAATATCTTTGAAGAAACAATCATCTTTGTTTTTGTAAAGAGCATATGAAGAACAACCATTATTCCTTGGCCCCAGTCCAACATTTTGTGACCATCTCCCTCAACTGCCCCACAAAAGGGGGGGCAAGCTAAAATTCTGTATTCTTTCTAAACCAAAGACACTTTTTTTTCAGGGATGCAAAATGCAAAGTAAACTGTTTGGATGTATTAATGTTTTTGTAATTTAATAATGTAATTATTAAATGTTTCCATTTAATTACTTCCACTAACTCAGAAATGGAAAGAAAACCAAAAAAAAAAGGAAGGCCAGCATCTCACAGAAAGGGCGGTAGACTTTGGACATCTAAATAACACGCTGAGTTTTTATACCAGTTCAGTGATGTAAAAACTACACCAGTATGGGTTATAGCTTTAGATTTAATAAAACTATGCCAATTGATACAAGAATTTGGTCATAAATATGCACTGCCTTAAAAATGGAACTGTAAGTAGCTTCAAATATTTGGGAGACTTTCTAATAGTCTGTACAGGTTTTATCGTTATGCTTTTTGTTAACTGTACTCTTCCAGGGTCGTGCAAATCTCCAAACTTCAATTGAGAGGTAGATGACGAGAAAAATTTGAACTGCAAAACAACAACATGCAAATTATGTTGAAATTACATAGCAATGCTTATGAAATTGTGATCAAAAAGGTGATAACACATGCAAACACTTTCTAGAAATATATATATGCACAAATATCAGAAAAGCACCCACCCCCAAAAAAGTCCAGAGAGCCTTATTAAAATTGATAAGTCATCTCAGAAAATAATTATTTAAAAATTCCCTTTATATTCCTCTCTGTGAGTAGAAAAATAGTCATCTATAGAGAAACTAACAAGAGTTGCCTCGATTCAATTTTGTTGTAGGCAAAATTGTCAGTATCAGTTACAGCATGTTCGTCTATAAAAGCGGTCATTGGCTTTGTTTAGTGAAATCCTGATGGCTGCCCCAAATCTGGCTGTATGTGGTATCTGTGGTATACAGATACCACTTATCTGTAGCTTATTATGTACCTGAATAATACCTCCCCACTAATACTCACAACCATCCAGACCTGAAAGTAGCAAGTGAAAAGGTTGCTTAGGCATTTGAGGACAGAGAATGACAAGAAAACATTTAAGAAAAGTCACTACATGCCAGGCCCAAATTCTTTGTGTTACATCAAAATGGAGAACGGGGTGGGGAACCTTCAAGAGGAACGAGAGTTGTCTGGGAGGAACAATTATGTACACACTGCCAAATGTTTTTTTTAAGCACACTGGATGCTGATATGCAAAAGGACCACTAAAATTCATGCGAATTTTGAATCGTTATGTCAGTGAAATTGCTGCCATTCACTTCTGAAATAAAAGGATTGTAGTCTGACTACTTATGCTACAGGTTTTCATATGAAAAGATGCATTTGTGAACTTAATGGAAATACAGAACTGACACCATTTGCGACCACAGTTCAATGGTGAGAGGTTGGAGGGTGAACTTTTGATACGTTCTTGAAAAAGTACTGAGAATTATTGGTGACAAGTCTTTCTCTGGAATTGGAAAGGACGACACAGAAGAACCCTCCGGCTACTAGAGAATACGATGTCAGAAAACCCTAAAGAGAGAAAAGTATCTGGATGTCTACTCTGAAACTACTTGAAATTTAACCTTGAAGTTAAATAGGAAAAATATTATTGATGTTATCCCCTTTCCTACTAATTTTAAAATTTTGGCACTATTTTTCTTGATTGATCAAATAAGAGCAAGATGATAATTAGGCTCAGTGATACTGTGGCAGAGAAATGAAGAGGATGAAGTGTACATGAACATAAATGAGATTAAAAGCAATTAAGGATTTGCTTGCACTGACTGACAGAGACTACAGACTCCATAGTGCATAACAGATGTATCTGGTATGTCCTGAAGTTTGAGAGCACATTTCTTGATTGTAGGGCAGGGGCATCTCTTAGTCCTGGCCCTGCAGTGGTCCAGACTGGGGGCGAGGTAATTAAAAGAAACCAGGGGGATTTAGAGAGATGGTATTTACCCAGGTCTTATCCTGAAAGCAGAAATGTAATGATGAAAAGATTTGCAGTACAAATTACAGCTCAGTGCAAGTAAGAGTGATATTCAGGGGTTTGAAGGCAAGTTATGCTCATTTTGCTACTTTGCTGCTCAGTATAGAATTGATTCAAGGCAATTTATTGTTATTATTACTTTTAGGAATAAGAGCTACATATACAAGACAATTGCCCCTTTAGGACCTGTTATTTGGAAGACAGTTTTTTAATTCCAAGCAGTTTTTGCATAGATATGGTTCCAATTTTCTTCATTCATCTCTGGATTTTAACTTCCTTAATATTCAGTAATATCAAGAGTATTCTGATGGTTTTTATTTTGTTGCTAGTATTATTACGAAAAGCAATGAAAGAGGTATAAGGAAATGTTTCACTTGACTCAATTCATACTTTATATTGCTCCAGTTGCCTGCTACATCATTTTACCCTATGGGATTAAAATTTTCATGTTGGTGAGTGGTGGTAAAGCAGCTCTTTCATTCCTACTATTTTTTAACATTATTGACCAGAGATGGAAGAGTAGTAGCTCTGCAGAGGGTTGTGTTTATATAAATTTTTATTTCCTCTGAGATAGTAACATAATTTTTGTTACTGGTGGTCAGGTGTGTCTATGGCTCAAGGAACCTTGTTTCTCCCTTATTTCCTATGCCATGTTGCATTGTATTCTGTGATCCTGCACAGAACAGGTAAGTTGCCTGCATGTTTCCTGAGAGCCTTTTTTTATCATCTTTCTTCTGAGTCCCTTATTAACTCGACAGCAACTTTTAATAGACTTAAGTCAAAACTTGACACTTGTTGTCTTCTACCCTATATTCATAATCATGCTGTTTTTTGCAAAGAGATAATAAGCACCTAGAATTCTGCCTCAGTCATTTTGGTTCAGCCTCTATATTCACCTCTTTTCAAATAATCTCTGCCTTTATACCACTTGCTGTCAAGAGCAGAGTGATGTTCCTGATGACTACTCTTTAGCTAAAATTTCAGTTCATCTTTCACAATCCAGTCTTTATAACTGATATTCCTCACTGTATGAAAGCTTAGTGTCTATGAAACTCCTCATCGTTTCCTGGCTCTGGGCACATAGGGCCTTCACAGATCCTGGAATTCACCCTGTGTGTTTGTATAGCCAAAACCAGAGCAACGCTTTTACCTCATGGGGTGCTGGCAGGGCTATGGTTCGGAAGGAGGTGCAATGTATTTATTTCTTCTCTGAAGCTGGGGGCTGGGAGAGGAACTGTAATTTTACTGGGAATAAATCATTCTCCTTTATACAGTTCACTGCTCAAATCTGAGCATGTAACCCATATTTTCTCCCAAAACTCTGAAATGTACATATTTTGTTGCTGATGTAGGACTTGTAGAAGGTGTTTAGTTTTTCTGCATATAATTAGGTTAAAAGTAGGTATTAATTTCTGTACCATGCCATGAGTAGATTCATGATGCTTCTCCCCCAAAATGGTGCTGAGATAATGAAAAAGTTCAGCATTACTGTGGAAGTCCATAGTATATAAGATGATAACCCAGCAAAATGGAAGCAAGCACTACCAAAATTTTTAGAAGAATGAAAATAATAATATTGAACACTACTCTTTCTTAAAAGGACTCACTTATTTGCTAGATTTTACCATTAATTTTTTCTTTTGTTATTGGTGCTTCAAAGTATGTTTTACACAGCTAGCTGTCCGTCCAATGTATTTGCAACTTTTTGAGATTTAAGAGGGCTAAAATGAATGATATTCTCTTCCCTGAATTGAATGTATGTGTATTCTGCATAAATAGTGCATAAATGTTTTATGAATCAGACCCTTAATTTTCACAATTTCTGAGGCATTTATATGAATCTCTCCAAAACGAATAGCACCTTTCCTCACCTACAAATAGAACAGAAATATTTTCACTTAATAGCTTCAGAAGATTGCACATTTAGCTTTCAAGTGCAATGCTAAATTCTGTAAAGTAAAATTGTAGACTTATGCTTCGTTTTGCCTAAAGGACGAGGAACAATTGTGTCCATTTTAATTGATACGAGTGTCTGTGTGAAACTGTAGACACAAGACCAAATACCCTGCACAAAAATGATACGTCAATACAAAGCTTCCAGACCGGCACTGTCAATGTGCCTTGTAGCATTTTTGCTTGACCTGGCATTACAGTAAGAAGTAGCTTTTCACTAAATACATGGGAAAGGGAGGTAAGAACTGGTATAAAGTTACCTGTCTGCAAAGACCTGAAGTTAGACCTTAAATCTCCTCTCAGTAGACCATCAAACAACTAATGACTTGCCAATAAACCCAAACATGTACTTTGAAGTCATTGCCACGAAACTGATTCAGGCTACAAGAGCCAAGGGTAAGTATCCTTTTAACATCAGCAGGTTCTGAATCTAGTCCCTTTAGGAAGACGGCTTCACAGTCCAATCCAGTTCCTTCAGCCGTACAGGAACACATAACTGAACAAACTAATTGCCACTCGTTAGCAATGCAAATCTTGGTTTTAAATCCTTTTATGTACAGGCAGATTTTAGCTTAGTTTGAATTAGTGAGGTCTGAACGTATTTCGTGTTCAAATGTGTATGTTGAAGTACAATGTAGTCAGCTATCACAGGAGAAAACAACTTCTGGAATATATTGTAATTCAGCTGTTTATTGTATTTTAGAGATGGTGCCCACCAATTGTTCGTCTTCTAGCCTTAACTTTTACACCCATATTATAATTGTTTATACAGACATAATGTATCTTTTTGATCTAGTGGGCACACAAAAGAGAAAGAAGTTTCAGTGTGCTTCACTCAGCCTGTCTCTTTTGAAACAAAATATATTCTTTTTAATATTAGTGGTAAGTACAGTTTGGGCAGATTGTTTCAACAATACTCTAAAGATGAACACAAAGTATCTCCCCAAATAAGAATAAGAGGTACTTTTGCATTAGATATACTTTTAAAACAAAACTGTTTGTCACTGGAAGGCTTTATATATAGCTTGATTTACCTGACTCTTGATTGTCCAGAGTCATAGTTTGATGGACTCATTTGCATGGAGCCACTACCTCTGTAATCTCAATTTTGTATCATTGAAATAAATAAACTGTAGAAAGTAATTTAACTTAGAGTCTTGCCATGGGGCAAAAATCTGTTCCCATCCAATATTGCGACTGATCATTATTACCACAAAACCTAGCCTGTGTCTTGAAGACATATTTCTAATGGAAGTCATAAATGTTGCCTTCTGAGCTATATTGCGGATTAAATATTGGTTTCTCTTTCTGAAGGATCTTCAAGAGCTTTATCAGCTCTGCTGGCAGCATCTTCGTTCTCATTGTTTGTTAATGGTTCTGCTTCCTTTGAGTCAGCGTTCTTCTGTGCTTTCTGCTTCTCATCTTCTAACTTCTTTTCTTTTGCCAAAAGCCTGTAGTTAATGGCATTGCCAATGAACAACCAGATACTGGCCACAATCACAATCACTCCACAGACAAAATACATGTACTGATATTCACCAGTAACATCCACTAACCAACCTGAAATACAAAGACAAGAAGAGAGAAAAAGAGTCTTTAAAATAGAATACTCAATACAATCCAGATCCTTCCCTAGGAAAAATACCTATATATTGCCTGGTTTTGAAGTTGGAGCAGAAAAGCATTTTCAACACGTTCAAATGATCTAACATATATAGCGGAACTCTGACAAAACCTGTATTCGTCAAGCTAGCAATTGTCATTGGAATCACTGACAATGATAAAATATTGAAGAACAAAGTAAGTAAAGCTTAATGAATAATGACAGACAGTTTTTTAGTTCTTTCATTTTCATTCTTTCATTGTCTCATTATTTTATTCAGCTCCTAATTTTGTTTCCTATTGTTTTGGAGTGACTGTCTGAAACTCACAGAGGCTGCATACAGACAATAGGATGAAGAGGTATGTGCCTTTTTAGGCTGCTGCCACTGTGCATCAGCTGCTTGCCTTTCATTTTTACTTTCCTGTGACTGGTGAAAGAGATGGAAAGGCTTGTCCCTTCAGCTATCATGCTCAGCTCCTGAGTTTTGAACTCTGAAGCCTGTACCTAAAAATTACATCCACACCGCTGAGATTAATTTGGTCATGAAAAGGAAAATAAAATTTAACTGTTCTTCCACTTTATGAGCCATTCTTTCCAAATTTTCCCAACTGCCAAATCAACATTTGTATGTATCCAACTATTTAGCTCTGAACTCTGCTACACTATCACTGAAATTCACAGGATAACCTGCACACTTCAATTTAGTATGTATTTAGATGCTTTTACTGGGTTGAAGCCATAATGCCAGCCTATTCACCTGATACACATTTACAAGCCATCAAATTATTTTAGTCTTTTCTTTATTTCACAAGCCTAGTATTAGGAAAAACTCAAATAGCACTGCAACTGTATAATTCACCTGTTAGTGTATATAGTACAATTTACTGGTTTTTATCGATGAGCAGTCTCATAAAACTTATGATTAAAAATGAAATTCTGCATTAACATTACTTCAGCATAGTATTTTAAATGATATGAACTCGTCAAAATTGGAATTTAGCTTTTCCATGTGCTCATCCCCTTTGTTGTCTCTATTTAACAAGATAAATCAATTATTCATACAGTTATAGCACAAACACATGCTTTTCAAAACTTCTGCAAAGCTAATATACTGAAAAATAAATAGTTGCATATGCTATTGCTCCATAAATATTAGATTTAATATCTTTAGAGTTAATATTAATATTGATTTCAGAACCTGACTGAAAAGGCTGGACTCCAGCGGTCACAGGCTCAGTCCCCCCACTAGGTGGCATAAGAAGAGTCTGTGTGAGAAGAATATTTTGTTCTACCATTACCAAAATGAATTTGTATGTAAAAAGATGAGGGAAATATGGAATATCTTGAGGACTATTAAACATTTACTTGTACAAACATTGTTGTACTGAAGTTCAGAACCTGACTGAAAAGGCTGGACTCCAGCGGTCACAGGCTCAGTCCCCCCACTAGGTGGCATAAGAAGAGTCTGTGTGAGAAGAATATTTTGTTCTACCATTACCAAAATGAATTTGTATGTAAAAAGATGAGGGAAATATGGAATATCTTGAGGACTATTAAACATTTACTTGTACAAACATTGTTGTACTGAAGTGAGCAGAATTGTTTTGGCATACTTAAAATTTCACTCTACAGTGCTATTTTCATGCAAATAGTGAGAGTAATCCTTAAAATACTTCGATAATTATAAATGGTTTTAGGCACATATAATCTTGCTGACTTTTGTGGCTCTGCTTATGTGGGTAAAGTGTATGTTCATAAGGCTAGTAATCTCAGTATCTTTATATTTTCATATTGTTGGGCTTACACTGCAACACACATTTAATGAATACTTTTCAATAAGATTTGAGCATCTATTTCTTTAGTCTCATATCATCAGAAACCTTACGATTATAAAACTTACTAACAACATTACTAAATACTGACTAAACAGCTAGCAAACAGAAAATACTTTAGATAAGACTCTTCATCATTTTTGGTGCTAGAAGCCCAGAAGTTATGAATATAATCCAAGCTATACACCTAGGATCCCTTCAAGCTCCCCTTACACTCAAAAGAGAGAAGTTGGCAATGTTACCATCTTTTATTCAATGTAGGATGATTCACACCCTGAATTGCCTTACACATATCTGTTGGCTACAGAAACAGGCTGAAGGACTGGCTGAGAGCAAGGCTGTGGTGTGAAATCATGCTGGGGCACAATGCTCCACGGCAGTGCGCTGGAATCCCACCAGGCACGCATCCTGCCTAGGCTGCTGAGCGTGCCCCTGTCCTTTCTGGCACCTCCCTACTGGTTTCTTCTCTCTAGAAATGCCAATCCTCTCTGTTTAGGCAAACTAAAGTTGCTATTTTAAATTTACGTGGGTGCTCCTCTAGCTGCCGCTAGGTTAGAGAAACTGTAAGTCACTGTGAGATCTTCACAAAAAATAATCAGTGGATTCAACCAATTCAAGAGAGTAAGAACTGTGTTGGCAAAGAGCAAATTGGAGCTGAATACACGTAAAGCAAGGCTGCGAAGTTACACTACGTGCTATCAGGAAAACATACATCTATCACATGAATTTATGGGCCAGTAGAGATATGCTCTTAATCTATCTATCTATTGCATATGCACGCAATGTACGCCTTTAGATTTTCATGTGGATCTGCAGCTGTAAAGTGCAAAGATAATTGATGCAGTGCATTGCTGCTACAGTACATTCCTAGTCACAAAGAAAACATTAAATAACATTAAGAATAACGTTTATATTAATTTGATATTAAATTGCAAGATTATGCTGTAATGTCTGAAAAAATGGAATAAAAGAGATTCTTACCTCCTAGAGGAGGGCCTATGAGCACAGGGCAACATTCCACGATGGTGACAAGTCCAACCGCACTGGAAAATCTGGCAGCCCCAACGAGGTCCATCAATGTCTCAAAAAGAACGCTGCTAACCATTCCAAATGCAAACCCAAAAAATACAGCATATATCACCAAGCCAGTGTAATTTGTTGCCAGAGGACACAAGATATGACAGACTCCATTGTACAAGACAGCAAAACTAAAAAAGTACTGAATCTTTGGCCGTATAAACTTGGAGTTTGCTACGAGTCCCATTGAAGGCCTAGCAAACATGTCTACAAAGGCTAAGATAGATAGCAAAAAAGCAGCAGAATATTCATCAATTCCCTTGTGTTTGGCATAAGGAGCCAAGAATACTATTGGGGCGAAGAAACCGATAAACATAATGACATTTCCTGACAAATAGATCAGAAACCCTCTGTGTTTGAAGAGAGACAGATCCAGATATTTATTCATAGTTTGCCAAAAAGACTTCTTATTGTTTTTGTGCAAGGCAGAATCTCCTGTGCCTTTTTCAACATCTTTTTTCACAGGAGGGACTGTTTTCGGTCCAACAGGTCTCATAAGTGACCCAGCCACACAGCAGTTCAAAAGAAGTCCTCCCAGAATGAGAAAGCTTCCTTTCCAGCCAAACGCATTAAAGAGGAATTGATTGAGAGGTGCCAATGTGCTCAGAAACACTGGACTTCCAGCCATGGCCAATCCATTAGCAATGGGACGCTTCTTATAGAAATACTTGCCAATCATGGTCAAGGCGGGCTGTAAGTTGAATGCTAAACCCAGACCTAAACAACACATAAAAGACAGTATTATTGAAGGTCATGCACTAAAAAACCTCTTTCAACTTATTTTTAAAATTACCAGTATCTAATCCAGTGATTCCCAATGAAGATAGAAACCAGCTAGCATCAGAGAACGAAATACAGCTTCATTGCTGCCCATGTGTATTAATGCCAAGAATATGTCATGGTGCCATTCTGCCATTTCCCCCTGTAGCACTGCAATAAAAACCAAAACTCCTTGTGTTTCAATGATAGAGACAGGGGAAATCACAGAGGAATGATGGTATCAGTGCATTGGCTTACCATTTTTATATTTACTAAGCTATAATGCAATTCTCTCTTGGCTCATTTCACAAAAGTTATTAAATGTCACCTCAGCTACAATGAATGCAGGGTGTATTTAAATGCATGGTGTATTTAAATGCATAAATCTCCTAATTTCTTATTTCCAGCCCTATTTAAGATCAAACTTGTGTACAAAAGTGGATCTTAAAATGGCTAATTATTCTGGACCACATTCAGCTCCACTTTCCCATGTATGGAAGTCACTGCTATAGGTGGAAGAGTTGTAGAGGACATGCATGGGAGCAGACCACCCATCCACATCAGCTGAGTGTATAAGCTGAACCTCTAGGCCTTCTTTCTGTATTAAGACATCTCGGCAATAAGGTCTAAGTAGCTATGCATCTGCTGGATGGCACAGGAGAGAAGTTTTCTTCTCTGATAGGCTCATTCCTGGACCCTGACTTTATTCTTTCAGTGAGCCCCAAGTTTAGGATGTAAAAAGTTTTAGCTTTAAGAAATAATCACTGAACAAAGAAGGACTCCTTTAGTCCCAACATAAAGAAAGATGAGCTTGAATATAGGAACAAGTATTACCTCATTCATTTACTACCTGCCAATTCACCTCACTCGCCTTCCTTATTCTGAGGAGGTAGTTTAAAAAAAAACCCACAATTTTTGATAAGGAGGTTATTTAATTTACTGGCTTTATGATCACTTTAGTTCACTGCCTTAGGCAATATCCAGGCCTTTGATGATATATGAATAATTTTATTTGGGGATTGATCCTGGGGGATTTTAAACAGAATGCTATTGAACTGAAAGTTGTTATACTTATCTGTGAGAGTATATGTATGTACAAACCTACAGAAAGCTGGTACTAGCTTTCGCATTTTTACTAGAATCCTGCTAGCCTCTGCCACCCCATTTGAAGTGCAACATGATTGAAAGCCAAAAGAATGAATGTGAAATTCTACACAAATGACTGTAATAAGTGCTGTCACGAGCCAATCAATTTTTATACCATAATTACGGTGCAGTCTGGAGCAGTACATACATACAGCATTTATTGAATAAAATCATCAGTTGTTCCTGAAATATCCTAAGAAATACTTTAACATCATACCAGCTAATTTAAAGGATTAGATAGCTCAGGTAGCTGAAATGAACTGATCTTGCTACCTTTTTGGTTTGCATTGGTACAATGCCTTGCACAGTGGGTTCTTGATCAGTAAGGCTCATTGGTAGAACAGTATTAGAAATAATATAATATAATATAATAATCCCTTTTAAACAGGACTCTTACCTCCAACGACACCAATACATAGATAAAGTTCCAGGACGCTATTGCAGAAAGAGGAAGCAATCATACCAAATGAACACAGGATACCTCCTGCTATCATCACAGGCCGGCTACCATACTTATTCACCAAAATGCTGCTTATGGGACCTGTTGGTAGAAAAAAAAATACGTTAACAGGTAACAGGTAACTCCATCATACTGTCTTTGTGTTTAGGATATGTTGAAATGCCTTACTCTTCCATCATGGAAAATGTTTAGCTGTTTCTATATCGATTTGTCTTACAAACACACCCTGTGCGTTTGTGGACACATGAGCCTGGATGTGGATATATTGCCTCCACGACAATATAAATATTGATTAGTCATGGAGATGGATCAAAAGATTAAAGACATCAGACAAGCAAGAGGGATTGTTACGGTTCACAAGCAATCAATACTGAGATTGGTCAATGGAAGTTTTGAAAGTGCAGGGACTGAAGAATTTTAAGTATGAGACAGATATCAAAACTCCACTTCACAGAGCAGGAGGAATCTCCAGGCAAGCAAACTAATAACTGATCTTAATACTGTAGCATGTCCTGGACCCCTACTTAAAACTACACATTGACTTAAAAATATTGACAAATCGGAATGTAAATCTCTGGCCCCTGAGGCTCGTTTCCCCTTACCTCATCCAGAAAGGAGTGTTAATGGGCAGTAAGATGACTATAGGTTGTCTGGGAAAATCTAAGATGTGGTTTAGTATAAAGACCTAGAAACTTTGAAAATATTGCTACAGGTCCCTTTTTCAGTTTCAACTGCAATTCAGTTTATGGTGTAATTACGTCCATACTAAACAAACATCTAGTCTGCAATTTAGCATGACATGCATTATATGTTTTTTAAACGACCGTGACTGGAATAGATGGTGTGCTACATATCAAGATTAAGGGGTTGTCAAAGCTCTTTAGGTGAACCTGCGTACAATCTGACTGCACTATATTTGGCCCAAACCATTACGAATAGTCTTGCTTTTGCAATAACTAAACTTATCCAATTAAAAAAAATTAAAAAAACATAATAAAAAGCAATAAATTTCAAACTCAAGATAAAGCAGGCACCTGGCATAAAGTGGAATGCCAATCTCTGCATGTGATTTCACTGCAAATCATTCACTGTATTGGTAACAATTTTAAGTCCCTCTCTTTATAAGTATCTAAAGGAATAAATGCCAGAAACTCCATGATGTGAAAAAGCCAAACCCAACCAAATTTAAAAGTGTATTTTCATACGTACAGTGTTATTTTAGACTCCACTGTTTGAATTACTTTAAATATATTAAAGTATTATTATGGATGTACTGTAAATGTTAATTGCTACTCGCATATCAACAACAAAAGTCTTAAGCATATGCCAAATGATCAATTTTTACCTTACTTCCTTATGGAAATAAGCTTCTACAATAGTGTTGCCCTGTGCCTGCCCATCTTTTCTAATAGCTCGTGAATCCAGAGGTCAGTTTGCAATTAACTTGACTGAAAAGCAAAGATTTGAGTGATGTTTAGATCTTACGGTTTGTGCATTCATTAAATAGCTTGGGTCATAAGGACCAAGGTCTAAAAATGGAGGTCCCTGTCCAGGCAGCACAGACACTGGCCAATACACTGAGCTTTCCACCAGTAAAAGCAATCTATCTTCTTGCCCAGGCAGCTGTACCATTCAAGGTAGGTGGGGGCATAGAGGATAAGCAGAGTGGCTATTTTACTGGGAAGGTAAAGGATGCTCAGACTGAAGGCATTAGGGCTCATCTTACAGACACGTAAACATAGGGGACCAGGCTCTGCTGCTCACTGAACTGCAGTTTAAGCATAACCGTATATTGAAACCAACAGACTTGAAAATCCACAGCATGGAATGGCCCACCAAATATACAATAGCCCGGAGATTTATTAAAAGACTTTAAATCACATATGAAGCACTAAAACATTTTGCTGACAGCTTATATTATGAGATACTTAACACTTCTTTATTTCCATTTGGGGGGAACCACTGAGCAGAACAGTGATGAGGTGGGGTTTCTCCTTTGAGGCCATATGGAGAAAGCAGTGAAACACGAAGGGCGGACAAATTACGCTCCAAACACTTCCCAAATATATCATGCTTCTCCTGTCTTAATAAACTTGTGCTCTCATAACTATGCTGAAGCATAACTTCAATCACAATTTTTTTATTTATAGAGTTATGTTTGGACAATCAGTAGTTTGGCTCATGTTTGAATTAGAAAGAAAACCTTTTGAAATATATGAACAACACAAATATTTCCTCTGGGTCAAAAAAGCCCTTTTTAACTTGAACTCTTTGTTTAATTCAAAGAAAAAAGTTTCATCCTTGTATCAATTAATATTTACATTTTTGAAAATAAATTAAAGGCAATTTCCAGAAAAAAAATAAAGTTTTAATCGTGATCATTGCTAAACACAATAACAGTATTTAACTTCAAAGATACCAAAATAATGATTTTTAAAATTATTTTCAAGTTCTTTTTCCTGTGATGAGATGGAAGTATTTACAAAATTGTAAATGAAAAAATTGTGCAGTATTTGTTAACGTTCTGACCTCCCCCCAAATAAATGTTGCCTTGCTGGAGTCTTACTTAAAATGTTCCTTTGCTGATCCTTAGAAAAAAACATAGGAAAGAGGCATCATACCAGGTAAATATTTGACCATACTATTTACAGATTTATTCACTACAGGCAGCACCTTGAATTGTACCCGTACATAAATACTTCAGTTACGATGGAGATAGACCTGTTGGCAATCTGTTTCTTTTCTCATTAAACAAAGACAGCATGAAAAGCCAGAAGGATAGGTGTGAGACCGAATGAAAAAGATGAGGTAAATCCACACATGTTGGAAAGAGAGGAACGGCATTAAAAAAGATTGTTGTCCAATATTGCTATATTGTTAGCATTTTAAATAAAACTATGGATCAAAAAGACAGCATTGCACAGCACTGACAAAGCTTTCCAACCATAATCAAGGACAAAGATGAGCTCTGCTGTAATATCCACCCCAGAAGAGTACTGACTATCATAATCATATTCTTTAATTCTGTTCCATCAATCCTTCCTTCTTTCTCCTGTAGAACAGGAAAATGAGCCAGATTCTTGTTTGTTTAGGGTTCGGGGAAGAGGTTTGTTTTTAGTATTTGGTTGGTTGGGTGTTTTGGGGGGTGTCCAGAAATGGCAAGTTTCGTAGTAATGAAACTTTGAGGGAGATCATTTCGCAAACAGTTCTTAATTAGGAACAAGAAAACTGGACCTCTGTGGATCTTAACTGTGGCAGTTAGGCCAGGACTGTAAGTTACAGCTTTTCACATCAGAGCACGCAATGTTAGCCTCACCTACAAGACCTGTTAGCTAGAGGTCAAATATGGATGTATTAACTTAGGTAGGCAGTGGATGAAGACACCAGAGACAAAGCTGTCTGATGGGTCGGAGCTCTGTACTTTCAAATGACCTAAATCTGGAACGTATTATGAATTTAAAATTCCTTTAAACATAATATTATCTTTGAGACGTTTTCCTTAAGTTAATTATGTGTATTTACCACCACAGCTCCGTTTAATTTTGGATTTTCCTTTAGTGTAGTCCAGTATTTTGATTTAAAATTTGTGCACGTGGGAAATGCTAATTGTTCTATAAGCCATAAAGTTAGTTTAAGCTTACTCCCTAAGTTATCTAGGAACCCTTCCAATCTGATGAGTAGGTTAAAGAATTTCTTGTGACATCTGTGTATATAGTTGGTTTTGTAGTCTCATAAAATGATGTATATTCATACCTAAACATACATGAATCTACATAAATTCCAGCTCTTTGCCTGCCATCATACATTTTATAGCCATGCACAAATGTCATTTCACATCTAACAGCTTCTACAATTATTTAAGCAATGCTCACATGCCAGCATGTACCTATATTCCTTGCGTATTTTTTCTTTTTAGCAGAAGGAAGATTAAGCTGTTTAAGTACTGTAACACTGCCAAAATCATGCTATACATCAATGCACGTTAATGCATTAAAGGACTGCTGGATCTCTGAGTCTACTTTCCCGAAGCCTGAAGTAACTACGTAACAGATGTTAAGTCAGGAAGCCCACAAGAATATTTACTCTGATCTCTCCCTTAGCACCTACAAACCATCAGCCACAAAAGACTATACACTTCCTAAACCAAATTTAAGACCATTATCATAATACGCTAACAGACTCCTGGCTGTATTTTTATCTTTCTGTTTGAGGCAAATGACCAGACTGTGAGAAGGAGTAAGACAGCAACTGTAACCAGTGCCACTGAAGAACAGTTTCAGGAAGGGCTGTGCAGCAGGACACAAATGCTTTAGAAGACGACAAGAAAAAATAGCAGCTTTTCACGCTCTTTGTCATATGTCAAGGGAAAGACGGCAAAAGTCATTTCAGCTATGTGAGCGGAGACTGGCTCATGCATTTGGGAGCTGTTTATGATGTTTTATACAAAGCCTATAACGATGTGACACCTACGTTCTGTTTTGATGGCTCAGCAGAACAGTCACTTGCACATCTCTATTGTGCAAAATGTGAAGACAATGCTGCTTTCGCTGGTCTTCAATAACAAGACCTCTCTGAAGAAATATATTGCTTACAAATGAGGTCAATTATTTCTTATTATAACAGCGGTAGCAATAATCCGTATTTTCCTCTCACTTCCAAGTTTACCTTTTCAATCACCATTTAAATCTTCTTTCTTCTGCTAAGCCATACTGTTGCAAATGAAAAGCAATAAAAAGACTACATAACTGAATAATAAGTAGATTTAAAAAGCAGATGTTTGAAGAAATAATCACTTTTTTCCCCTTAAAAGATGCTTATTGTGCTAATATGGTTTAAACATAACTCGAACATTAAAGTTTCTTTTTAAAGAAATGTACTGCTTGCTATTTTTGTGGAAATTAATAGAGGGCTCAAACTATGCACTATAAATTTAATATTCTTTCTCATACAGTTACATTCTCAGAGATACACACACACTCATATACACACATATATGCATTTACTCACTTTTTTCAGCCCTAAGAAAATATACACTTCAAAAAATGATCTGACTCTGGAGACAATGCAACGACTTTGTATCT